GTCAATCCTTCATCTTCTTCTTTGTCTTCAAGAAGCAACTCCAATTTCCCTTGTAATTCTCCATCAGCAGCTTGAAAAAATAATTCAATCTTGTTCGGCTCTAATGTCAATTTTTCTACCTTTGATAATTGATAATACTGCCTCTCAAATGCCCTTAGTAGCTCTGTTGCTTCTAAATTCTTATTAGGCCACTCAATCCATTCCAGAAATAATTTCTTAATAACACGATGAGTGTCCTCCAAGAAATATTCACCTTTTAATGTATGTGAAAAAATCTCCCATGAATTTTCTTAATACTCCATAATTGAGGTAATATGCTCTCTTATCTCCAGTATCGTGGCTAGTCCAAATAATTCAACCATCTTCTTCTCAAAAACCCGATTTAATTCCATTTCCCAAACATAACATCTTAAATACTTTGAAATATCCTTTCCATCAAACTGATCAATTTTATTGACCAGTGCTTGCAAAGCTTTGGTTGCTAAAGCTTCATTGTAATCATTGATTTGCTGTTGCTGCATAAATAATGATAAGGCTTGAAACATACTAGCAATGGATGGATCCATGTACATACCCTGTCCTTTAAAAGAAACTCTACTAGAAGCTCCACTTGAAGCTCCTCTCAAAGACCCTTCAAAATTTTTATTCTCGTTCTCCATAAAATAAAATAAAAATAAATAAAATCCAATACCTTCCACCTCAAGCTTTCACATCAGGTTCACCACTTATGTCGTATTATATGCTATCTTGCTTGAGAATGCATCGCGCATCTGGCTATAGAAGATAAAATAATGTTTTGCAAGTATCTCAGTAGGCTAGTGGGTTTCAACCATCTAAACACAAACTATTTCGGATTTCAATGTAAAAGCTTAATCCCAATACAAAGTGCTTAGAAACACTATTTTTAATAACTTCAAGATATTATAAGTACAAAGTCTTTTATTATTTGTTAGTTTTTATTTTATTTTTTATTTTTTATTTTTTTATTTTTATTTTATTTTATTATTTTATCTTTATTTTTATTTTTATTTTATTTTTTATCCTAATCTTGGATAGCGAGCTTTCGCAAGCTATAATTCTCAATCTGACCATCCGATTGTTGTAAATTTCTACCACTGGTGTCTTTGCAAGCCTTCCAAATGCTCAAGAAGTTTCAATCCAATCTAACTTATAGGTTGCAAGAAAATGTCGTTAATCCACACTAACGTATCTTGACTGCCGCCTAGAAGTTCTTGACTTACCGTGCCAAAAGTCACCTTATTCCAGCTGGTAGATCTCCAGATATTACAAAAATCCTAAACAACCTCAATCTGCTAACTTCCGATACTTCTTTACACTAATGGTCAAATATCCTCTATCTGTTCCGTCAGATTAACACAACTTTTTGCATGCACTCAACATACTCAATCCTCTAGATACCTCTAAATTTTAATTGCAGAAGTTTCTTCAATTTCACAAAACAGTCAAGAGTATTAGCCTTAACTTTATTGCAAACAAATCCAAATCACCAATACAAACACTGACTTTCAACAACGATATCCAAAGTTCTCCCAAATCCTATGAATCCAATTCTATACCTTTCAAAGGAGCTTGAAGCCAACTCTCCGATCCCAAAATCCTGATCTCCGAATGCCTCTTTCCTTATCGTCTCCTCTCTTTTAACTCCATGTGGTCCCATTTTCTTTCACCTTGGACTCTGAATTGGAACAGTCAACGGCACTTCCCCAGAATTCCTGTCTCTAAGAGGATCTTTCCATGGAAAGGATGTTTCCCCTGAAACGGCATAGAGAATGGAACAGCTTGAAATGAAACCAAAGCCTCCGTATTCGGGACCTCATTGGATTGTCCAACCAAATCACGTCTCATACTGGATAAGAAGTCCATACCAAGACCTGGATTGGATGTCCCTGTAATTGGATCAAATTGGCCCTTCACATCAGACTCACCTAAATATTGAATTGGTCTTTTTCTCTTTTGCCAACTCTTGGTAAGAATGGCTCAGACTCATTCCATCCAATTTATCGGAGAATCTTGAGGACCTTGATTTATCTCCTCAATTTTTCCTTGGCTTTGGATCTATTGATCCCGTTTATTGAAATTAGACTGAGCATTACATTGTTGATAAATATGCCTTGTCTGCTTGCAATTCCTATACACTAGTGCATGATCATCAGTGGCTTTGGGATTAGAACATTCATTGGCATAATGACCAACCTATCTGCAACGAAAATGACGAAGTGGTCTTTCTGCACCTCCATCATGCATATTGGGTATCTCCACCAGTATATACTTATTAGACTTGTTCCATGTAGGGTTGAAAAATGATCCTAGTTGTCCCGTTGGTACGGAGGATACTTGGTTCGATGACGCCGATGGGGTGACATTAAATGACCTTAAATATTGGCACTAGAATTGGCCGCTATTTCGAACATCCAAGTTGACTAAATATTAATAATATCTTTTTCATTTATATTTTCACTATATAGTCGTGTTACAACACGACAATGGTCCCTATTGTAACTAGATAAATTTATTTTTCGACATGCTATCTTCTTTGATCGTCGTATTCCTCATTTTATGGTTGCATCGCTTCTTTTGATAATGTTGAGCATTGTACTTAGCTTCTCTACAATATAAGCACAATCATTCTTGACGACGACGAGTCTTTTCTTGCTCAGTAAGAGGTTTGAAACGTACTGCATCAATTTGCATATCTACTACTTTCGAATGTATGTGTTAAAGAGGTATTGGCGTTGCCATTAAATTATAGTAACGTTGAGGTCCACTCGTATAATTCTCAGATCAAAATTTAAAAAGGCGATTGTCGTACTTCACAGCAAAGTCAATTGCTTAACTCAATGTTTGAGGATCAAGTAAGTTGAGCATTAATTTTTTTACCTCATATTGTAATCCGTAGAGAAATTGGCTAATAAATGCAGCATCATCCCACTTGATATCAATTACAAGTTGTCAAAATTGTAAAGCATACAACGTTATTGATCGATTGTCTTATCGTAAAATATGGATCTTATTGGTTGCAATACGAATTGCATCATGTTCTCCATACATGGATTGAAACTCCGCCAAAAAAGCCTCTAGATTATCCAATATTGGATCTCGTCGTTCAAAAAAAGATGGAAACCACGATAGTCCTGAACTTGAAAGAAGCATATCAATGAATCTAACTTGTGATCCTGGAGTTAGATAGCTTTGGCATTGAAGTTCAATCACAAGTTGTACTTGATTGATAAATCCTCGAAACTTAGATTTGGTCCCTTGAAACTTCTCGAATAGGGCAATTCTTAGTTCTCTAACACTGAAAGGATGTTCCACCATATCGAAGGGACATGATTTGGTACAGATGTTGAAGCAGCTCTAATCATTACTATATCTTCATTTCCTGCCAATCTTATTGCTTCTTATGGTGGTAAATTGAGTTGATGCATCGCAAGCATTAACTCTCTCTATTGCTCTTGCATTTGTGCCATTGCACTCTTCATTTTAGCAAGTTCTGCCATGATAACACTTAGAAAAGAGAAGATGTCTAATATCGCTCAAGACAAATAGAAGAGATGACTTGAAAACAAAGAAAATACTAAGGACAATATCAGTTTAGAAGAGGGTAATCCACAACTTCTAATATGTTTGTGTCTTATCAAGAAAAAGGGGTAATCTATTCTTAATCAAGATTAGACAAAGCTCTGATATTGTAGGTATATTCTTATCAATCTGTCAAGGACAAGAACATGATAAAGACAAATAAACAAGTGAGACTCTTTCATAAAAAGATGACAAAATAGAAATAACTTGATATATATAATAAGAAAGAAACTAGAATGGCTATTGCCAAAAGCCAAGAAAACTAGAGAACCTTGAAACTAGACTGGAAGCAAGAAAAGAATTGACAAGAGTGAAGAAGGCTTCACTCTTGTCTCTATATATACTATCTAACTAGGGGCTATGTGGCAACATTCTATAGGACCTCCAATATGTGTTGACTTTGTATGATACATGCCTTGACTTACAAGGCAAGTTTTTCTACGTATAGGCCACATAGTTAGTTTGGTCTTTAAGCTAACAACATGTGTGGCGCATGGCCAATTTATTGACCATGTTTCTAATCCCAAAAAATCAATTAAAGACACCTATAAAGTCAAAGGAGCATCTATAAAGCTTCTAGGAAGCTTCCATACCAAATTCTATAGAATTAACTTACTTTTACCTACTTTTACTTATTTCTACTTATTTGTACATGTAATTATTGGCTTACATGCATGTGTCCGTGACACAAACATAACGCTTTGATATTCTTAAAACATTTTGATACCCTAAATTTTTATGATATCCTTACTATGTACTAATATCCTGACCATGTCTTATTGTGCATGGTTATTAATCTCATTCATGTGTAAGAGGATCTTGGCGGTTCTGAGGCAAGTAGGAGAGAAACCCTAGAGACCTCCCTTTTTTGCGAATACACAAAGCCAACCTATGGAAGCCCAACTCACATACACAATGAAGGTTTGTCAATCCACAAGAGACCCCATGAGAGTGCTACTTGCCATTGATGATCAGATGAGGTTATGAATCCTTGTGTGTGTCTGTATGTATGTATGTATGTCATGAGCTAAGCTTTTAAGGTCCATCGTCAATGAGTTAAGTTCTGACTCTCTGCAAAGCTCTGAAGCTCTTCGTCGTTGTCCAAATCCTGTGTAAGGATCTCACCTTTGCGAGCTATTCATCGTACACCACAATCAATGCAATGAAAGTGTTTTTTTGCCTCTGCCGTTGTACCCACGGTTGAGATCAGTCCTTGAAGCCTGGCTTGGTCTGTAGATCGTGAGATGACCTCAGGCTGAGCTGTGACATGTACTTCATTTCGGCCGAATTTGACCCAAAAAAAAGGGGGGGGGGTCATGTATGAATGCTATCCTCGGAGGTTGGGTCTCTGGATGCACCTGAGAATGCTTAATGGGAATTGTACTCTTTCACGCACGATCTTGGCAAAAACGAGTTGTGACCCATTTCTTCTCAAAGCTGAACATAACCAAGTGCTAAATATCTAGGTTGTAGCCGCTCACAGGATTCTGACCATGAAGGGATGTTCGGTTTTCTAATGAAGTCAAGACTCGGTACTCTCAAGCGTCAATTAGCTTTTCCAGAATTACAGATATCCGTTGCTGCCAACAGGAACAGTTGTTGAAAGTGGGTCAGGATGTGCAGTACTTACAGCAGATTACAAGTTGAATTTGCAGAGATTTCTAAGGCCTTGACATACTATCCTTAAGTGCAGGTGCAGCACAGAACTTGCTCCCCAGTGACGAAAGCATCACATGCTGCAATTGGCTCCTTCCAAATGATGCATTCGAAGTCCACGGGCGTGAAAGGTATATACTACAGATGCATTTTTTGCTTAACTCTCGATAAAAGATTTGTCGAAGGCACGACCAGCGTTTCATGGTTTCGGCCTGATTAATTTCCAGACCTGATCTTCATGTAATTTCGGGAAGCCTTTGCCACGACTTGCAGAGTGTCGTGATCATAGTTTTTGTGAGCAAGGGCTGGAGAGGGATTGCTCAGTGTGCGAAATGCACACTGAAATAGATGTGTGTGCGTCACACTTGTGTAAAATACATACTGGGAACTAATTGCGCTTGGTTAAAACTATCAAAACAATATTCTGAACATTGTCGTCTCATGTGGAGTATCCAGCCAATTCAGTAGAATCTTCTGAGCTCTTCAGTTTGCCATGAAGCTCGCAACTCGTACCTTGAAGCTGGGCAACTTGTGTACAGAAGTGGCAATTCATATACGCTGGAATGCACAGGTAAACATTTTCATGGCTGATTTGTATCTACCTCCTTAGTTATAATAACCATGTTGGAAAGATTATGAGAACACGAGTTGACAACGAGCTCTAGAAACACTCTTGTAACCTTGGGTGTAACCTTGAATGTGTACTGATCTGCGAACTGACAATGGGAACAAACCATTAATGAAAATTGCAATCCGTTCAAGTTGAAGGACTTTAGTATGTGAAGTGAAGACTGCTGAGCACTTTAAGGTTTTCGTATTCTTCTCCAGTGGCAAGGCCAGGATCTACATAACAAAGCTGATATTCGGCATGCATAAGCGTCTGGAGACCACACTTGAGCAACCTCTGCCATCCAGTCTTATCCCTCAACACCTTAGCAACGTCAGCCGTTTTCTGCGAAGGGTCCAGCACGAACAGGTTAATTTCCTCGGTCATCCCACCGAGTCGCTGCCGTTTCTCAATGCCCACGATGGTTCTGGAGTGGCCCCTGTGTTGGAAGTACAATGGTGACTTCTTGCTGAACACGATCGGTTGCCGGAGCTGATCAAACACAGTGGCCGCAGAGGAGGAGTTTCGGTCGGGCCTCTCCATGAAGTAATTCCACACCCAGTCGACGATGTGTTTGTGTCGGGATCTGTTAGTGGAGCCGCCGTCCCTGTTTGATGGGTTTGCAGAGCAGCTTCCTGGTTCAAAATCCACGCCCACGTACCCCTCTGCAGTGTCCCGGTCAAGCTTGCTGGAGCTGTTTCGGAGCTTCTCCATGCACCCCACACATAGATCTGAGTTTAGGTCGTGTGAGTGGCGGTATCTTACCCCTTCAATCGGATATTCTCCACAACCTTTGCACTCGGACTCTTCGTTATTCAAAGGCGAAACGCGCCTCGACCTTGAAGCTGACCTTGAATTTGACCTTGACCTAGATCCAGACCTTGATTGGGATACCGAAGTTGAGGTTGATGAATCTGGGGACTTAAATGAGGCTAGGCTTCTTCGTGTGGGCACAGCATTGTTTTCCTGCTCTCCTCCTCTGCGACTCTCTACTCTACCCCGTCCAATAGATTGGAAGTCAACGATCCTTGCACGTATGCCAAAGGAGCGCAACAAGGTAGCACACTCGGTGGTGCCAATCCACTTGTGCGTTCCGACAATGTCCCAGTTGAAGTAGTCTGCCCCAGGGGTGTCAAATCCCTTCTTCCAGGCCATCTCCACCCACCTCTGCAGCGACAATATATCTGGCACAAATCCACAACCTCCGAACAAAACCTCCCTTGCATATGGGTCTGTCATAAGCAGGTGCGATGCCATCATCTGAATGTTTCGCCATCCACAACCCCACCCCAAATCTTCTCTGTGCCGGCTTTCGTAGTGGTCCACCCACCCGGATATCACGATCGTGGATTGTCCCACCCTGTGTTCCGACTCCAGGCATCGCTTTAACAGGTGCATAAGCCCCTCTTTTACGAGGGCTGTAGTCGTCTCCTTGACTTGATATGACATCAACGACTTCACATCCTCCTCCATGGACCTGTTCGTTACCGACTTGCTCATCTCTCCCTTTGTATCCTCGCCATAGGAATTTCCTCGCTGCCGCTTGCTCAAGCCCCCTATGTTCTTAATGAATGAACGGGTGCTGTTCTCCTCGGTATCCTCCAGGGTCAGACTATGCTGAAGACAATGAAAATCCCACTCTTGGATGGGAACATCCTGATTGCAACCCCTGTCGCATGTTACGTATCCTCTATTGCTTGGTTTTGCAACTTCGCAAGTCGTGGAGGCGATTTTCTGAGCGAAGGCTCTGTCTCTTTCAATGTCCTCTGCATCAAGGTGAGAATTCACATGGCTGTCTAAGAGCACGACAGGCACATTGCGATTACATAGGGGACACTGATCCCGCTCCTCCATTCGCGTACTCAACACACTGCGATGAAGGCGCAATTATGGAGGTTGCACTTGATTCACAAAATCAGAGCCTAAACACGTCGAAAGCGACGGCAAAGTCTTACCAACCAAGTCCTCATCACAAATCCATACACCCGTTCAAAATCCTTCTCTAAACCTCAAAGTTCTGCTACTCTCCAATCGCGTGATCACTTTTCCAAAGCAGATGCAAGATACCAAAAAGCAGGAATGCAATGCTGACCTAAAATTCTTTACACTAGCGAAATTATCCTTGGTAGAAACCTTGGATTACCTCAAATAGGTTAGCCGAATCCAGAGGAATGCTCCGCATCAAAACGCGATGGTTTCTTCATCAGTAATTGGAAACTTGGGAACCGATCTAACGATACAACTAAGAACATCAGTAGCACCATTGAGGGATCCTGTGCAGCTGCATCACCTCCAGAATTCTCTTCACACGAAGACTCATGATACAAAACCTCAGGGCCGGGATTCACGTGATTGAAGTCACCCTGCCCTTGCTCTTCCGAACCAACACTTCGGGCGCTTTCCTTCCCAAAGTAGTACGGTATTTCCCACGGGAGTATATGAGAATTCCAGCTCAGCTCAAAAAGCGCTGTAAGAGCACAGAAAAATAGAAAGGGAAACCCAGTTGATAGTCTTTAAAAACCAGCTGTGGGCCAAAAGGGGTGACGCTTCAACCGAACAAACCCCGCCACGCTTCACGCGCCACGCCGTGGAATATTTTACACGTGGCCATGAGAATGACAGCCGGGATGATGTGTTCTGACAATGTGTTTTGCATACCCTTTGTGTGGGTATAGTTAAGTGACACACTCTACGTTGACAATCACCTCTTCACATAATGACAGGATAAACCTTAAAATAGGTTGTTCGCGGCCCACTTGTCCGATACTATTCACCAGGAAGGTTTTTGCTGAGAAAGGAGCTACGAAGTCATGCACATTAGATACGATTCTCGGTGCCAGACTTCGACATTGTGAGCAGGCGTAGAATGAAGACTCTGGTCTGGAAAGAATTAGGAAATGAATTGTGTTAATGATAACTCCGAAAGTTGCTCAAAATTAGTCACATTTCAAAATAAAACGAACAAGCCCAATCAATGAATGCCATACCACCACTGCCTTCCTGTAACGAAATGGTAGTCGTGTGAGGCGAGAATATAAGTTTTATTAACGTTTCAGTCCACTTATGAGACACAACTGGAGCACCAGAGAGGATGTGTTTGAAGAATATGCGCCGATTTGCATCAAGCACACGTACACAAAAAACTAATGAACAAACTATGTTTTCCTCATTGAAAGCTGGCATCGTAATGCCACTCAATTCCATTCTTGAATGAGAATGTAACCATGCTGTAAGAACCTGGTGTCACGGTAAGGAGCAAATAATCGACTAAAAACCACAAGGCCTCAATCCTGAATAGCCGTGGAGAGCGTGAGATTGAGCAACATCTTTAACCTACTTGGCGCTGGGATGAGATGCAATGAAGTCGATAGCATCTGAAGCAGACCTGATTTTATCAGCCTCAGCATCAGGAATCTCCAGTGCGAATTCCTCTTCGAGTGCCATCACTACCTCCACTTCATCTAAGCTGTCGAGACCCATATCTTTAAAGCTAGCTGTCTCGGACACCTGTGAAATGAAACCGCGTAAGATTAAGCAAACGTGACCAGACACTTCAATGCAGACTATTCTAAAAACTATAGCGGTAAAGAACTACACATGCCAACACGATGCAAAACAGATATCGACTTATCTTCTCTTGCAGACAAAATTCATGCACATAGAACCTCGAAACCCAAACATTTCACCAACCCCAATATTTCATCAAAGTGGCTATCAACCAATACTACACTGACAAATATCTGGCGGTAACCTAACAATTGTGCTGCAAAGGATCGCAGGAATCCACAATGCTCTAACGTACTAAGACGCGCAGTGACTACTTATGTCGAACTTACGTCACTCGCCTCATGTCGGTAAGAATTCAAACCCAACATGGCAATGGAAGACAGATTAAGGGTTTATTTTCAGCATCAAATTCATAAACCCAAATACGAACCATCAAGGTTTCAAGGATGCAACCACGTGGGCTACTCCACATGGTGACCAGCTCCCTTTCGACCCGGGAATCCTACGATATTCGTCAAATCGATAACTAAACGACCGGAATGAACAAAAGCGACCGCTCACAAAATATCCCTCCAAACCCTTCAAGTAATCCGAAGCTCATACACCCAAAACTGTCGAGTCATGAGGTCACACCTAGTGACCACCAGGTGAGCCCCTGCATAGATGAGATATTCGGCAAGTCATCCTCACTGGAACCTCTTCTCTAGGTCAAACGGAAGGAAAAACAAAAAAACAAAAACAAAGACACGGAATCACGACGTCACACCTTCGAGGCATCGACTTTTTGGTTGGATTTCACCACAGCGAGCACACGGTCTATGACATCGCGCCGGTCCAAGTATGTCCCATGTGCCTCGCCCGACATTGTCCTCGCATTGCCATTGCCCCAAAGGCCGGTGGTGGATGGTGCAACGACCGCTCTCACGCGCATGTGTTGCAAAACTGACCCATGAACCGCCCACAGCGACGATCTGACAGCCTGCATGATGCTTGACTGTGGTGAGGCCTCGATCAGTCCCTCAATCCCACAACCTCAATTGCAAGCTCGCGAATCTAATCGGGGAACAAACACACAAGCCCCTGCAACGAAAACGACGACTATGCCGAAAAGCTTCTAGGGTTTCGAGGCCCGGAACAACTTCTGCACCTTTCGACCCCCTGCACAGATCCAGTCAGCCCTAATTTTCTACTATAAAGTTCTGACCCAGTGTGAACAGAACTGCCCAGGTTATTTTTTCGCCGCTGCCCAATGGGCAGATACGGAATTCCCATTGGCCTACGGCAAGTGCGGTCAGGCTCCGAGGGAAATAAATATATTTCACACCTCTTGATTTGTTCCTATAAAGCATTTAAATTGTACATGGCCTCTTCCATTAAATTCAACTTCCATAAGTTCTCTAACTTTGATAAATATTTAGTTTGTCAATATTATATCGTTATTATTTTAATAGCAAGAAGGTAAATACTAATGATATAAATGGACGAAAAAATGCCAAATCTTATTCTTCTTTTACTAAGAGAATAATATGCAAAGTTGGTTCTTTTTTAATGTACAAAGGTGGATTCTATTTTTAAATTTTGTTCATGTATAATTTAAAAAGTCATATTATATGTAATCATATAAAACTGAATTTCATTTTTCTAAAATATCTTTACTTTTCTTAAGATGAAACTTTTTGTCTTGTCAAAATGTTCTTGTATTGGAGAGTTCATAGAAATAATCGCAATATAATAAAAGGATTTGAGTTCTTAACTTGAGATTGATAGTTGCAATTAAGATGTCATGCTGATTTTGGTTTTTGGCTACGATAGAAATGTAATTGTAAGGGACTGACTAAGTTTTAATCGATAATCAACATCAATTCATTGAGTAAAGAATATCAACTTTAAAACTATAAGTCAAGTAAAGACAAATATAACAATAGAAAATGCAATAATTGAGAAAAGAAAAAAAGAAAAAAATAAAAACTTTGATAATTTTAACGTTAATTCTGTACGAGAAAGGATCGGAAGGAAAAGTCCACTTAGAAACATTCAATTTCATCACATGTTTTTGGTAGAAAATAAATAATGGAAATTAATAAATATGACAAAAATAAATGTTCGTACTGGTTCATTCAGTTTTTCCACTCTGTTGTTACTTCAATTTTTTTGTGTAGCTAATTTTTAAGAAAGATAGTAATTTGAACTTCCATAACTAAATGTGCAGTAATATAAGATTAATTCAACTTCAAAAAATCAAGTAATTGGTAGTCGAGTGAAAATTAGAGGGACCTGTCGTCACCTCATACTAAACATAATTTTTTCGTTCATAATTTGAGTTTATGCTTAAACAGGATTAAGTAGACACTTTTAAAATCATTACAAACATATTCCTTCAACAAGAATCATATCAAACACAACTATAGCTTTGATTAATGCATGTCACAATCTCTACTCAAGACAAAGCTAAAATTTAATTTTAATCCAATTCTAAAACTTCATTCAACAACGTCACTCTATGCTCACAAATAACAAATACATTTTTAAAAGCACAAAAACCTTTCACGTTAGCACAGGTGATTGGTCTTATGCCTTCAAACCCTAAACCTATTCTAATTACTAAAAAAAAAAAAAAAAAAAAAAGGAACAAATAAGAAAATCAACAGCAGGACAAGGAACAGTGAAATGAAACGCAGCACAAACAGAGCTCGAAAATTTACATTAAGACGCAATGGATGATAAACAGACGAATGAGAAACTGCAGTGAACTGAAAAGATGAATGAGACTTGTATTATGCGACGCGGATGAGAAGGAAAAGCTTCTTCGCAACGAGGAACAAGCCATTGCACAACAATCCTCAAGGGATACATGAAGACCAACATGCCGGGACCTGCAGAGAGGCCATGGCCACGGCGAGCTTGCAAAAAACTAGCGTTCACCACGTGGTCTCGTCATGGCGCGAGCTGACATAACATCAAGAAAAACAGGCACGCAGCGAAGACGCCGACGGAGGTGGGTTTGAGGAGAAATCACGCAGACAGAGAACGTAAGCGGTGATGGAAAACTCGGAATTGGAATAAAAGCTGCAACGATGGTCCTGCAGTAGACTATTTCGATCCGTGCCTTACAAAACATGTGTTACGCATCTCTATCGATTGTCTGATGGAGCTGTCGACACACTGCCTTCGATGAGCCTCACCTCGCTGCGGATTCTCTCTCCAGGCACTTCATGGGTTGGTTTGATAACTGCCTCCCAAAACACACGTTATAGAAAGCGTCGCCGTGTAGAGATCCGTCCGATATGTACACAGAACATTCCAAGGACAAGGACCGTCAACGTGTAAAACCACAGCTAAAGCGCTGCAACTTGTTTTTGAAACCCAGGAGATGGAGTGTAGAGCTAGCTTGAGGCATGAAGTCTCCGTGAGCGGGACAGTAGTAGTTGCCGGGGGTAGGGGCGTGTGCTAGAAGCGATGGGCACTGGGGGCAGGCGAAGGCAGCCCCGAATGAGACTGCTTGCAGTGGGCGATGGCGCCCTGCACGGCGCTGTGGAGCTCGCTCATACTGCTCGCGCTGCTGCTGCTCATCCGGGGGCTGATAGTACTGGCTGCCACTTTCGGGGAGCTTTTCACCTTGGGACTCAAGCTCATGAGCCTAGGACTAGAGCTTTTCAAGAGGCGAGGGCTGCTTGACACCAAGCTGCTGCTGTGAGAGAGGAATGCGGAGCTCTTTCTGGCAATGCTGGGCCCGGCGGGTTGAGTGCTTGCTCTGGTGGTGTTGATGTTGCTGGAAGTGAGAAAAACAGTGCCTGGATTCGAGCGGGGACGCAGAGGGGGCGTTTTAATGATGGCGGGCATGGATTTGGCTCGTGTGTGGACGTACTCCTGGGGGGCGGTCCTCTGAGGGGGAAGCGTGTCGCCCCGTGCGACGGTACCCTCTGATTTCTTGCCATACGGTGGTTTGAGCATTCGCATATATTTCAACCACCGTTCCCGAATTCTGAGTATCCCTGTTTGGTCTCGCTCCCTGTCAGCAGAGGCCACGGACTGCACGTCGGAGGAATCCGAGGAAAAAGGCATCTTCAGCTTCAATGATCCTTGCGGAGACTTGGAGCTTGGCTGCCCCTGCTGCAGGATGGGTAGGGCGGGGAAGGACTTGGGCTTGCTCCCTGGCGCCAAATTCTTGTCGTCGCAATTCGGAGGGTTGAATAATCGCGTCACAGATCGCAGCTTAGAATCCGATATCTCAGCAAGCTTCGAGTTGGGGCGAACAGCAGTTCGGAAGTCGTGCTCAGTTCGTGCGTCTAAACGAGCTGGCGATTTGGGTGGTTTTTTGGCGACAAAGATGCCCTTCCACTTGAGAGGTGATCGCAGCCAAGAAACGTTGGACGGGGTATTATCATTATCTTCATTCACGACTGTCACGACAGACCTTCGATCTCGATCCGTGGGACATGGTACCGCCATGTGTATCGGTTTGGACGACAAAGTTGGAGTTGTGGCGTTATTGCTGCGATGATCATAACCTTCAAAGGCCCGATCAAAAGCCGCATCTGTGCTCACTGAGCTAGCGTCTTGGGAGCTGCCGTTGGAGTCTCGGCTGGTGCTGCTACACCCTGCATCCCTGTCACCAGACTCAGAACGAAAGCTTGAGCTTCGAGAATCCATTACCGTTTCCACCAGGGCGACGTCGGTAGAATTAACACAAAACTTTGAATATTTCGGCTGGTACATTCGGGAAAGACTTCCAGGTGACAATTGGCTGAACGGGCCCGGGACGGTCCTCTGCGAAACGACAAAAGTTGGAATTCGCTGGTTACCTTCCTCCATCTCTGCTTGTTTTCTATAAACTGGGTGCTGATGTTTGCAGTTGGTATCGGAAGAGTTTGCAGAGAAGCCTTGGTAAACGTCACCGTCTGTCTTTGACAAGCTAGTTAATACCGGCGACACAGGAGCAGACTTGAACTCAAACTCCTGGTCCAAATTGGAAGATTTTCTCAACGCCATCCTCACCATAGTTTCCCAATGTAAGGCCTTCACATCTGTGTCGAAGTAAACCTCCTTCTCGCAGTGGTCTCCCCGGCTCACTTCCACTGGTGGAGGCCGCTTGAAAGCATAAGCACTCGACTCCCGGTTATCGAAAACATCATCCCGTCTGGATGTAATGAAGGTTCTGTAATCGTTCTTGCTCCAACTGTCCGCAGCCATGATGCCGCAGTAGAAGTGGCGTCTTGAAAGCAGAGAATGCAGTGAATTACCAGATCAGCAAACCACTGGGGTGGTCAAAATACCAAGAGCGGTCTTGCTCGGTAACTCCATCTCACGAAGTATGGGCGAGGCCCACGTCGAAGCCCCATTCAAGCCTGGCATTGGGCCTCTCACTGAAAGGAAGGATGGATCTATTCGGGGGCGTTCGGAGCGGCTGGCTTCTCCCTGCATAGAAAACGATCCTTTCAGTACAGGTCTATGCCCCCTACCCACGTAAATGTTCGGAGTGTGGAACATCAAAGATCGAAAAGAAAACCGTGGAGAGAAATAGATACCAGAACACCTTGTAGGACCTTGCTTTATACTCGAAAGAAAATCCCCGCACAGAATCCAAATCATCCAGAATATTCCTTGAGGTGCTTTGCATGCGACTCACGGACGTCCAAAGAAACATTGCAGCGAGATGGTGAATGTCACCAAGATCGTGACTAGGAAATGTACTATGCTAGTATCCAACGAACAAGAGTACCATGCCTGCTCTGGAGAGCACAAGTAGTGGATGTGAAAGGTGTGCACAGCGACAGTAGACATGACACTATCTCAATCGGTACAGAAGGCTGCACCTGATATGCTCCGTCTGGACAGAAACGAGTCATTCATAGTTGCAGAAACTTGATCACATTTCTCGACACATTAACTAAAGCACGATGTAAAAACCTAAGAGTGTCCTTGCCTTATTTTGCTTGAAAGCAGTTGATACCGGGACGTAAATACATAAGATTTTTCTATTGACTTCGAACAAAGCGCGTTCACAAGCATGCCAAGCGTACACTGCAAATAAAACCTGACGAACAACGGTCCCGTATACAACATTGAAACGCTGGACATAGTGCCTCAGAAAACTCTCAAACAAAACAGAAACTCGTGAAGCAAGTATCCAAAGTATGGGTTCTCAAAATCTAAGACGGTGCTAACGAAAACAACCTCGAATATTGTAAGAGTGTTCAAACAAAGGACTCGCCTACCCCTCAACAGTATCCAAACGAACCGGGGCGAGAGAACGCGGAGAGAAGCAACCTAGTGGTGACGACTAGCACCACTTTGCTGGCAACGTTCAAAAAACGAAACCAATGTGCACGGACACATCCGCGGTACACACCGCCTTACGACTGACGTGAATTCGCTTAGAGTTACAGCCCGTAGCCACTGTCTAATCACTAGTACAAGAAAACCTCAAACGTAAGCAGTGCAACGCCTCAACCCAATACACCGAAGCGTAGTACATTCCCCATGGAACCATACCCATGAGGAACTTTCTCGCCGCGATCCTGAAGAGCACAGCACCCACTCAACTAGCAATCGACTCTCGTAAGCAACCATTCATCTACAACTACCCCGCATAAAATCAGCTAAGCTTGAAGTGTTGGCACTGGAACCCATGACAGAGAGGATGAAGAGCCGACCCTTAAGAAAACCAACACCGGGACTGAAACCACGACTGCTGTAGCGCAGAACGAAGGCCAACCAACAACTACCGCGAGCACTTTCCACCAGCCATCCTAGCAAAGCACGGCCTGCTCAGCAACGCGGTCTCCCACAATCTCTGCAGTCTCATCAAGGAGTAAACAGCGACGCCTCACCTGCAACTATGGCACCATCTTGACGTGGGGAATCGGTTCATCACTCTAGTCCACTGGCCAACAACTGCGAGTCTCGATGTGTCCAGCAGAGTTCCGTGCCCACACAAGCGACGAGCAGGAGGTCGTGAGTGCGAGGGTGGTGAAGGGTGGAGGGGGGGTGAGATACTGTTCGAGAGAGACTGGGGGGGGGGGGGTGCCGTGGGAACTGCGGCAGCGGCGGTCGGACAGTCGCGGAATCCGTCAACCCTTAACGCGGCGACGCAGCTCCGCGTCAACCGCTGTGGGTTTATAGGCCTCCGCGAGGCTGCCCCCCTTTACCGCGAGTTTCTCGGGAAAAGGAGCCTCCGGAATCTATTACCGTCGCTCTGGACTTTACTTGCAATTAAACTCCAATGTCTCGGGAAGCTCGCCACGTTGTGGACCTATTCACACCGGGAACGAAGAACGGAAAGTAAGTGACACGGAGTCTAATTGGGTGTGAACGAAGGGACAAGAATGAGTAAAGATAGACCACAAGACATTCCACCAAATCGTGATGCTGCTTACCCATCAGCCCAAAGAAATTTATAAATAAAATGCTTATATAATATTGCCCTAAGTTATTTTTTTATTAATAAAGATTATATTCTTGAGTTGGTATATAGAACTGTATTTTAAAATATGCTTTAAAGCACAAAATGTAATGTTGTTCATAATCCACTTATGTTTCATTGATTTGCTTATGTAATCTGTTGGAAGGCTAAGAGTTTGGTGTCCCAAAGTCAATTGACCCACTCAAAAAATTTGTCCGAGGAAAGTTCCCAACCATGTTTTTTTGAGTAAAAATAAAAAGGAATTTTGCAAAGTATTATTTGTTAACTTTACAGATGTAGTTTCTAAAAATTCTATAGATTGGTTTCAAAGATTGTACGAGATTATCTAACATTCTAAAATCATTGCCTCCTTTGTAAGATGCAATAAAAATTTAATATGTTACAGCTTTTTCTAAACAATACTTGTATGTTAGAACTTTTTATATGTTAGGATATCTTATTCTCGTATCAAACCTAAAATAATGAAGAAGGTTTTAAAATCCACAATAATTTGTTTGCATGTGTCTTTCACCACCAACCAAAATGTTCACATTTATTGATGTCTTCACAGACACCTTTAAAAAAATGATTTTAGTTTTGCACCAAACATAGTTTTTTTAAAAAACTAAAAATAAATACAAACTGTTTTCAGTTAAAACCATACAATATTAAACTAAGTTTTACTTGGTTTTTTATTATTATTTTAAAATCAGAAGATAAAACTATCAATATTTGATGATTAATAGAATCAAGTTTTTTCTTTATCTCTTTTTTTCTTTCAAGACAATATTTGATGTTGTTCAAATCACTCAAGCTATAATTGGTGCTACTTGTTTTGTGAGAAAAATCCTTTTATAATTTCGTAAATGTACCAAACGTTCCCACATTTATTTGTCCTATCCACAAATAAAACATGACTCCCTCCTCAAATTACTTCAAATTTATGAATTTAATAGAGAAATTTTTGGAATCCAGTTGTAATACAAAACATGCGCAATCCAACATGCACAGAGGGGGGGGGAGATTCCCACACAAACAGAGAAGGAACGTGCTTTATTCATTCATCTACTGCAAAGGCATGTGACTTGACCCAACTTATTTAAGCTACCCACCAAATCTCAAAGAGAACTTGATGTAGGGCAGCATGATTTGGACTTCCGAAATGGGTCCATGCCTCCTCTACTCACCAGGGATAATTGGTGCCCATGGATGATCATCCAACTATCAGTATTCATCCACATGAAAGCATTATTCCATGTTGAGTTGTGGTGGAGCCACTATATGTGTGAAAAGGACAAACTTATCCACTTGTTCAGCGCTACGGCCTAGCTTTAGCCTAAGGCCATCATGATGAGCTACACGACGATTACATAATGGAATACAAAGAGAGCAGTCCACACGCGCGCCCTACACGCACCAGAGAATGTCAAGGGGGCTTAACTATTACGCTGCGATAAAGACCTGCTGGAGCCCATTCCACAGTGGAAAAAGCCCTCTGTTCTGCTTCCCGCGCACCCCCCGTACCCCTGGGAACGTCCCCCTGCTGCTCATGTTCCCTTCCAGCGTGAGAACGAAAGGCTCATGTCCACCGTGGGCTGCTGACTTGGCGTACATGGGAGGGGTCGCACCTGACATGTCAGCATCCGTGGTTGACGATTGTACTCCTCTGCTCGCAGATTTCCTTTCATAGACTACCTTATTTTTAGAAATCAAAACAAACGATAGGTTGGCGATTTATTTTCTATGTCAAAATTAGAGTGTGTGTGTATGATTGAGAGTGTTGGCTTTGACTAGAAGGATTGTCTATCGGAGTGTCACGTTTTTTGGATAATTTCATGTTCTATTAAACTTCAATACTGTAAACTTGTTTTTTTGATAAAATTTTGCAAAAAAACATCATTGAGTGTATCTTTGATGGGATTTGCATGAGTAACATTCACATGCCTTTTATTCAAGTATTTTGAAATCTATACTTTTTCTGTATATGATTATATATTTACACAAATATGCATAATCTTTTTTTTTAAGAAATAAAAATAAATTACATACATAGGCTTATATTAAAATGAAATGATTATTTGAGTAATGTCTGAACTAGTTTTGAGCATAAAAAGTGATGCAAATGTGACCTTATCATAGTCCCAATTTTATTTTTCATTACAGCTAGTTAGCTTGGATATGGGGCTTTGAATTAATGCAAAAAGAAACCATTCCATATGATTATTGAGCTTTTGTAAATTGCATATCTTCTTAGAAGCATAATGTTCCAGACATGTGGTGCTTTTGTTTTTGAAGACACGGTTTGTTTTTTAATGATTTTGTAAAGAAATTGTTTATTACATGTGTGTATTTATAAAAATGTACACACAATAATCAAACAGAGTAAGTTATGTACCTGTAAAACTAACTTTTATCAGTTTTCAAGTATCAGAGTACTGAATGAATCCTCACAATTAAATGACTTTAACAGAAATTCAACAAAAGTTAATAACACCCCTCCCTGCTTTTAGGATTGTAAAAAAAACATTCCTGACAATATGAGTAAAAAGTATAGCAAATTTACAAGCACAAATCCACTGCTGGAGTAGAATCCATGAAAGGAACAGAAAATACTAGCAAAACTTGATTTTCACCATCAATGGCTTTGAATGTAACATAGATGTCAATGTCCTGCCATGTATCCATGTATAAGTGTAGGCACTGGTGCCATGTTAAGCCTTTAGGGCATGGATTACTAAACATGGTCAGTGTCAGCAATGAAATTCAACAAGCCAAAACTTATGTCAGGTTCCCTAGTTTTATACTCTATACACTTTAAAAGGGAGTTCATCCATGATAATTTTGGATTACCTCAAAGAATGCGGTGATGGGTAAAAATAACACCTTCAAAAATGACATATTGTTGTTTCTTGTGCACTTCACTGATGGGTGCACAACATTTGGGAGACAAGGTAATTTAAAAGTTGTGGCCTCTCACCTTGTTACTTAGTATAGAAACCCCTGAAATTATGGAATAAGTTTTCCCAAGAGTTATATATTTCCTTTGTACAGGCATTTCAATGTACTTGTCAATCTCAAAAATATATATAATCTATGAGGCTACAGTTTTAAACTCAATCTCAAAAATATATATAATCTATGAGGCTACAATTTTAAACTCAATCTCAAAAATATATATAATCTATGAGGCTACAGTTTTAAACTCAATCTCAAAAATATATATAATCTATGAGGCTACAATTTTAAACTCAATCTCAAAAATATATATAATCTATGAGGCTACAGAAAATGAACCCATTTACTCATCCATTGTGCCATCTTTGTTTTTCACTGTTTTCTAACTACCTACATTGAGAACCATAGTTTAAGACTCTGATCACTTTTTTTCACAAAATTTTTTAAAAACTTCTCACTCATTCATTCACTGCAATCCATAACTAGTTCATTCAAAACCATGGTTACTGTTGTGAAAACTTGCTAATTTCACTTCAGAAAATAAAAAAAGAGCTGGTCTGAGAGTTTGACTTCACATGATAGACTCTCGTTTCATGGTTCTCAACTCCAGAAGACAAAAAAACACCATTAAACAAGGACCCAGAGTTCTAGCTACAGATGCCACTTGGAAAGACACTAATTGGCTACTATCTACTTGCTCCATTGCCAAGCAAAACATACATTTCATGCCAAATCGTGAACAGAATGTGTACTTGTCGAAGGGGCTCTTCAAAACCCTAATCCCAAGCCTGAGGAACTGGGCCAATTTTGTATCATTTACCAACTTTATGGACCCACCATCCCACGTGGCATGCTGACTGGACAAGACGAAAGGAGGTGGCATGAGCCAGGTGTGGAATCTAATAAAACAACACAATCTCCCTTGAATTTATGTATTTATTAATTTTTATCTCCCTTCCTCTGTGTTTGGTGAAGTTAGTTAGATTGTGTACCCTCATTATTTCTTTCATTCCCTTTTTTTTTATTTTTTTTAAATAAATTTTCTGCTTTCATCGTCATCAAGTGCTTAAAAGTGCTACGTCTTTGATGTTTGTCAACATGAAAGGACCAATTCAACCGGAGAAAGCAGGGGTTTTTTTAATGAAAAAACGTGGGTCTATCACAGAGACACTAACAAAATGACAAATAGTTGCACAGAAATGAAATGAATACTAATTTGAAACTTATTCAGATAGTTGAATCCAGCTTTCATGGACAATCGGTCTTCGTAGGGAAAAAAAAAAAAAACAA